TGCTGGCTGCTGGCCACGAGCGTGAGCGCTGACGCCAGGTAACCAAGGGAAATAGAACAAGTAACGAGAAAGTGACGGACCAATCAGAATGCCGGAACCGTTACTAGTTACCGGCCTCTTGTGGCTTGGTACGCCATGACACTTGAGGCGGGAACCAGCCAAGACTATGAATTGAAGAAAATACCTCAAGCATTGACACAGAAGGCGCATATGTTGGCTATATACCATCTACCAAGTAGTGGTGGGCAATGTCCGAATAAATGAACCTTGGCTGGCAAAACTTCCAAATATCATAACAAATATTTCACGCCATAAAGCGCGGCAGTCGTCGCGCTGCGCATGTGTGAAATTTTGATTTTTCCACAATCGAATGCGCTCTAATTGAGATCACAAGTTTGAGGTTTGACCTGGGTGCGACTTGCATTAATTACCGCCGGAGAATCCTTCAATACATTCCAACCACCTAAAAAAATACCTAAATAAAGCTTTGTAACGTCTCAGTTTGTACTCGTTTGTCTGAGCAACAGTCAAAGCCGCCATCTTTGTTTATATGAGACCCATAATTTTCGCACATGCGTGGCGCGACGACTACCGCCCTTTAATTTCACGGTCATTTGTTATCAAATTAAAATTATACGTAACTTTTCACAGTGTTACACGACAACAACGCTAGCATAAGTTCCCCAATCAGTTTTATACTATTCAGTTTTCATAACAAAAAGCTGAATAAATAGCTGATTCGTAGCCCCAACACAATTGTTGACCTTCCATGAAAACAATGGCATATTGTTATTTTTCAATCCGATTCGAACGCTTGAATAACATAGGGTCATACAGTTGTGAAGCATCGCTAAGTTCAATGACCCCCGGGCCTCTATTCGTATTTCGAAAACCAAATTGTGTAACTTATACGTATCGTTGTCATAGTGATATACGCCAGTCATCACTAGTATGCGTCATATTTTCATATCAGATTCACAATTAGGGTACCCAACAGCCCCAGAGGGTTACTCGCTTAGAAAAGTTATACATGTGGTGAAAAGAACCCTTTTTAGCATTTTCTAGGGGTATGAAGATGCGAAGAAACAAGGGGCGTGTTCTTATATGAAACGCGTGACTGTGAAATACATAACAATTACGTCGGTGCAAAAATATGATAACTACTTGGAAAAATGACATAATCGAAGGGGAATGTCCGCCCGTTAGGATACAGATGTGCACGTATTTCCTGCGTAAAAAATATCCTGCTAAGGAGGACATATACTCACTCTATAATGCGTAAAAGATTATTGTGATGTGAAGCATTGACCCTTCATTTTAGTCAAAATTTAGTATTAGGAGCCCAATGAAGACACAATTCAAAATGTGTGACTCTTATTTAAACTCTCAGGGAGCCTACCAATAATATTTGGGCTCAAGTACTTCCCGGTCACATACGTATACATAACACATGTTCTAACTGTGGTAGATTCCTGACCACACTGCTTATACAATCACTACGAGTGTCACGTGACATTTGGGCCAGTCGGTAAAGCCCTAACGCGTAGCAGGAAGTAGTCGCTTTGTATACCCGTAGTACGAGGATTTCAATCCCAGTCGCAGTCCGCGCCATAGTTTATTGAAAATCGCATTGCCGAGTCGTGGCTTACTGTAACTCTGTCCAGCCGGTGGCGACGTATACCAAGGCACCATGAATCCTCCGTGTGCGCGGTGTAAAAAAACCGTCTATCCGATGGAAAAGTTGAACTGCTTGGACAAGGTAAGCCAACTTCAGCCGTGTTAGTGGTATGTTTTCACTTCCTCGTTCACACCCCTTAATTTCCGTTACTCGTGAGATCGTAACTTATTTTTAATTTTCTTGTAGATATGGCATAAAGCGTGTTTTACATGCGAGGAGTGCAATTTGAAATTGACCATGCAGACGTATAAGGGATATAACAAGTTGCCGTACTGCAAAGTGTGAGTAAACCCTATGTGACAGGTGAATAAAGGCTTGGCACATCGCGGTCGCGCTCTGTCAGTGGGCCGCTATAGAATGTGGCCATTGATACTGGACAATGGCAGTACCACGTATGCAGAAACAAGATAACGTATCTTGAAGTCGATGCCTCGCTGGGTAGCAGGTTGCAGTTCACTATATATACTGATCTCCAGGGAGCTGCACTGTTTCATTTGTAGAGTGCAGTGCAGATATTTGTCAATGCGATTGCGCATCGGGTGTGTGTGGGGTGGGGTATGAAACGCACAAAATCGGTTTACTTTTTTATTTTAGCATTTTGGCGTTGATTTTAATCCTGAGAGTGGCACGAAGTCTGACAAAGACAGAGTTGTACTTGTTGGTACCACTCCTTCTCGCCTATTGACTCAGTGTGTATGTTGTGTCTGCTTATAGCTACACAGGTCAGAGGTCGCCAAGGGCGCTGCCTTATCTTGTTAACTGATTCAGTCAAATGTGCGGTAAACTGCTGTCGAGCATAGGATCCAATTCAAAGGGTCTTAGAAGGTGTCGTGCATTGGTGACTTTTCCATACACGCGCAGAAACACGGAACTGAAAAAAAATCATATATATTCTCATGCAGGAAACATGAATACAATCCAAACAGACAAATAAACAAATCAAACAAGCTGAAACGATTCTAAAATAAAAAAAAAATCAAATTGTGTATATAATTAATCTATTTTTTGTATAGGGGTACCTATATATAATTTTTGCCGCTTTATACAAAGCGTTTTTGCTCCGCTAAATATTTTATCGAATTCTTTTACTGGTATTATTCCTCAATATAAGTTGTTTCAAATGCGCATGCGCTCACAGATAATGCATTTATCACTCTGATTTAGAAATGAAAGTTTACATAACACTTGATATAACCGCA